TTTGTGCTTAAGAAAACGAAAAGAGGTTCTCACGTGAGTGGCAACCGGGCAAAGAATTGAGATCAACCGTTAAAGAATTGTTCTCTTGACTCGGAGTGCCCTTCGAGGATGTGTTTGGGGTTTGGATAGATTTATTGCATCCCGATCATCTCTTACTACTTCCCACACCCCAAACACCTCTCCTCCTCACGAAATCGTGTGGTAAGGACCAAAGGTACCTTTTAGCGATTCCTGAGACCTCATAGCTCTTGTTTGTACCCAACATGTGTAGCAACCTAATGTGGAGTACAGGCTGGGACGTGGTGCTCGGGCTAAGACGAATCCGACCATCAACTTCCCACATGTGACCTTGAAAGGGAAGGCTATGATTCATCCGCTCTTAGTCATGAGAGATAGATGTTATTATGCAAAGAAAAAAATTGCAAAGGTTCAATGCATGCGCATGAATGAAGAAAAAGGAGACCGAAAAATGATAACTCCTACCCCAAAGAATGAAAGCACGCCAATAGTTTGTTGTCTGAGAATCCCCTGGAGCACATTTTTTATGATCAGCCTAAGGTAGTGGATATGGTCCTCGCATGGGAATTTGTGCCTGCACGGTAGGAAGGTAGTAGCGAAGGGGCAGACAGCTAAAGATCGTGGTCTAGAAGCCAAAGATCGCGACCGGGATCACAAGCCGCGAAGACAAACTAAAGATCGCGGCCCGGAAGCTAAAGATCGCGACTGCGATCTTGGAGTCTTAGGGCACGAACTTCGCATGGAGGGAGCCTTGAACAAACAGAGAATTTCCCCAGTCGCATCACGGCCAACACTTATCTTGCCCGCGAGAAAGATCATGGCTGTGACTCGCAGATCACGCCGTGAAGTCAGCCCGCGATATTCCCCTTTCCTCATCCCTCGATGACTGCGTTTTGAAATCACGGCCCAGAGACCAAAGATCCCGCTCGCGATCTTCTTTCCTCAGGCCGCGAACTTCCCCGTGTCCAAATTGCCTATAAATAGAAGACCAGTTTCCCCATTTTAAGAGAGCTTATTTTGAGATAAATTTTCATGTTCTAGAGATTAAGAAGAGAGATAAGTTGAAGGAAGGAGAAGGAAGGAGAAGAAGGAGGAGCTAGGAGCAAGGAGGATCTTCCCCAACTTCAAGTCTTCTTATATTTCTACCATGTATCTTCTTCCCTCCTTTATGGAGTATTCCTCTATGGTACTAGGGTCTCTAAATCCCATACCCTAGTTTTAGGATTTACTTTGTATATATAGATGTTTTAGGGTTTGAATGAATGAATGTGTTTTTGTAGTTGATTTTAATGTCACTCTTTCCTAAATGATGACACCTGAGCAACTAGCCCTAATCTTTTTTAGCCTGCTTTATGCTACCGAGCTGGGTACGGAATTCTAGGGTTTGACGGGTATGCGCCATCTGGCGAGTTTAGGTTAGAGGTGTGAATGGGGGCCTATAGTGGTCGAGGCAACCGTTCCCCAGCTATAGGTGGCTTTCCTAGGTGAAACTCGGGATAAAACCTCGGTGTGGATAGTGGATAGTGTCCATTGAAATGAGCCATATACTTAATGCCCTAGATACGATAGCCTAGATTGAGGTGACTGGAACATGGGTTTAGGGAAGGCATACTCGGAGGTGTGTGGATAACGACGAAGGCCCACGGAAAAGAGCTCACTCACCACATTCGACGACCCTAGATATCTATATATGCATAGTGACCCTAAACTAAGGGGAGGATTAGTCCCCAAAGTACATGCTTCTAGCTTTGATCAATCCTTAGACTAGAGTTTCCTCATATCCTCCACTCAAAACCTCTAAAACCGATTAACTCATTAGCAACTAGGTGGGAAGTAGGCTAGGGTACTGGGACTCGGGTAGAGTACGACATTGACTACCACTATACGGCAAAGCCGTTCTAGGTTAAACTTGGCCTAGGATGGGGTAGTTGTGGGTACGTGCAAACCTCTTACCAACACCTACACGGATTGAAGTGATCAGTGGTGACACCCGATATGTGAACTCTAGCATTTAGAGGCTGCCCTCTCGGTGAAGAGACATTAGGGATTGAGAGTACGAGTATGCACACATCTTGCACCAAATGCTTGTCCTGACCCGACTGGTTGAGAGTGAGTGTTTCCAAGTTTTCATATTATATACTCCGGTGAGGACCTAGATTGCTCGGTCTTGATTATGATGTTTTGAATTTTATGCATGAGGTGACTATTTTAAGTGAGTGGTTGAGTCAAGTCTATGTGGCCGGTGAACAGAAGAGAGACTCTTCCTCTACACAATTTTGCTGCACTCAAATGTCATCTGTGGTGGTTGTCTAGGTTTCTGTTGCTATTGTTCATGTGTTGATGACTCAACCCGAAATTCACACTTAAATTCCACCTAAGGCCCAATTATAAACCTTAAATGGGTGCAATATAGGGCAAGTATGTTTAAATATAAACCCGGTCCGGCCCATGTACCCCTACTTTTGTTGTTTGAAACATTATCTAGCGGAACGTTGTTTGTGAAAATCTCTACAATCTACGATTCATTAGCAAGACTTGGAAAGTAAAAGGATTGAAACTCTTGGTGAGAAGCTTCACTCGGGAGTTGTTTCCCCCTAACTAACTACCATGAACCATGGGATTGAGTGAATCGGTGTGCGACAAGACGACTGTGAACAGATAGGAGAAGCAACAATAATTAGAAACCACACTCTAAATTGCTAGGCCAAGGAATGCATTATAGGCTACAATTGTAGCCCTCTTGGCCCAAGCAATTTAGGGTTGACTTACCTTCTCCCTCAAACCGGGGTTTGGACGGCTTAATCGCAATCAACCTAGGTGTTCAATTTGAGTTTAGGGGTTTTCCCTACATTAACCTAGATAGGAGGCATTGAATGCCCAAGAAAACCCAACTCAATTTGAGCCTCTTAAGATTAGGGGGTTTCCCTCTAAGCTTGGTTAGAATAGCAAAATAGATTGCCAAGCACACACAATGCACAATCACCATGAAAAATAGCTCAAATCTTGAATTAAAAACCACCCACACACAATCATTCAATCTACACAATCAACTACATGGTAGAAGTTAGGGTTCTACAACACCCAAGTGAAAAGGAGACTACTCCATGTTAGAAAAAGGAAGAACACAAAGAAAAAAATTAAAAACCATCATTGTGATGCCTCAATGTTTCCTTGTCCTTGTAGAGATCCTCTCTTGTAGAGGAACTTCCCAAATCTTGCCTTGGAACAAACCCTAGCCTCTTCTCCCTCTTCGTTCGTTGCTTTCTCTCTTTGGGTTTTCAAGAAGAAGAAGGTTTCTCTCACTTTGGACTCTCCCTTCTTCCTCCTTTCAGCTCTTCTTTTATACACAGGTCGCGCCCAGTTCACGGCCGTGAACTAATGGCGGGGACCATGAACTCATTCCAAAATGCGCCGCTTCACTTAACTGGTTCGCGGTGCATGGCTTCATACTACAAGAAACTGCTCCTTTAAACTTCTGCGACGAATTTGATTTTTCAGCGACGAACCAGGTTATTTTCGTCGCAGAACTTTCTGCTACGCTGTAGAGGCGACGAAAGGTTTTTATCTTCTACGACGGTGGAATTCGTCGCTAAATCTTTCTGCGACAAATTTTAGGCTTTCTGCGACGATTTTTCTCCGTCGCAGAAAGTGAATTTTCTTGTAGTGTCAGCTCACGGTCTTACGACCATCAATAGCCACAAAACCTCTCCTTCCAACCCATTTTCTATCTTTATTTTTCGCTTCTTCTCCATCTCTCGCCATCAATAAAATTCAAACTAATGTTGGCTCCCATCTAGCAGCATATTTGAGTTCAATAGAACATATGACAAAGTTATCACCTTAGGATAACCGATCAAGAAAATTACATTTGAACTAATTATTATCAATGAAAATTATCAAGTAGTACAAACATACTTTCGACTATTTAGTAAACAATTGAGTGTACTCAAAATCATTTGAAAATATGAATGAATTATGTTAGGGGAGATTAATACATGAGGCTAGGCACACTAAAAATAGCATCAATGAAAGAGTGAGTCCAGGAAGAATAAAACCCACCATGCTTATTTTGGGTTGGGCAAGGAGAAAAATCCTACTCGGAGGCACATGACGACAAAGTAAGTGTCTGTCCAAATCAGTACTGATACTGATCAGTCTGGCGCATATGCCTTTGTGAAGATGTGTGTGATCAAGAGCATTGGTCGGGACGAATGCCGGTTTGGGGAAATAAGACATTTAATGCTCTGATAAGGTTGTCAGATCCACATCGGGTATAAATAAGAAGCAGGTAAGAGCATTTAAGCAAGTTGGATTCTCTCTTTAAAACTCGGAATACCACTTATCTCTCTAGAGCATATCTTAACTTGACCTCAGAAGGACTAACGGACCTAGAAAAGTCTGTGTGTGCGCACGTGCGGGTGAAACAAGGAAACAACATGAAGATCTAGGATCAAACCTCTAATAAAGTGATTATCATAAAGTAGTAACAAATAAATAAATTCATCCGACCAACGTGTCGGGCAAAGTTAATTTTATGTGGGAAAATTATAATGATCTTTCCACTTTGTTCTCCACCACTTGCCCCTAATGCTGAGATCATCGCAAGGCGCAAGCTTCCCAAACTCGAGACAACAAGTAAGGCCAACCCACGGCATTACACGTTTCAGCGACCTACAGGCTGGCCGCCAACAGGAAAACCAAAGAGCCAATCACAAACTCAGCAAAGCATATCTTTTATATACATACATATATCTCAATCCAAACTTTGTCCGCCCGTGAACTGAATCCGGCCAAAATCTCAATTCACGGGTTCCAACTTCCAATACTCTCGTGCTTTAGCCTACCCTCACTCCCTCTATATAAAGCCCAAACTACTCATCTCCCTACCTTACAACACAATCAGCTCGATCCCCGCCGCCATCATAATTCATAAGTATAGCTATCTAGTCATGGCAAACAACAGCCGGACCATGTTGATGATAATGGTGGCCTTGGTTGCCCTGGCCGTGGCAGCTGACACCGTAGATGCTTCGAGGAAAGTGGGCAGTACTACCAAGCCATCGCCAGCAGATCAGCAGGTTGTGTTTTGTAACATGACGCAGGAAGGGCTCCAGGCGTGCAAGCCGTCGGTCACAAAGCCCAATCCGGTCGACCCGCCGGCCCTGGCCTGCTGCCAAGCACTGGGAAGAGCCGACTTGAAGTGCCTGTGCTCTTACAAGAACTCCTTCGTCCTGCCTTCCCTTGGCATCGACCCTGACCTGGCCATGGCTCTGCCTCAGAAATGCAACCTCCCTTCCCTGCCGCAGTGTTGATGGGCTGGATTTCGTCTCTTGTTGCTTTAATAATTAAAATTCATAAGCTATGGTTTGCGTTGTGTCCTTTGTATCGTAACTACTGTTGTTGTTTCATCCAATAAAAAAAAGGAAGCACTTTTGTTTTGTCCAACCACTGCTCGTTGGAACCTTGTATCAGCAATTCAGTATTGTGTATTTCATATTGTGTGTGATGGGTTTTTTAAGTTCTTCAAGTTTGCATTAAATTTTGATGCCGTATAATTTTGGGGAGAATATTCATGTTATACAGAAACTAGGATTAGATTGGGAAGTAAGCAACAATGATGACTAATATTAATCTCGCATAAGAATTTTTTTAGGGTAAATTGCATGTTTGGTCACTGGAGTTACTTAAAAAAGTTCTCATTTGCCACTGAAATTAATTTATTTTATCCGTAGTCACTCAAATTAGTTAAACTGTTCAAGTTTGGTCACTCTCTGTTAGTCTCCGCTAAAGCTAACGTGGCAGTCAATCCAAAATTCTCCTTGCGTTTCAGTTTAGGGACCGGCCCGCGATGAAGAACTCAAGGGAACCCCCCCACTGATTGTAGAACTTCGCCCTTTTCCAACTCTGACTTCTTCCACTTTTGGTTGGCATGATCGGGCGGGGAAAACGGGGTTCGAACCTGAGACTAACGATGGCCGGCGGCAAAGAAGATGGTTCTACAGGTGAGCTGTCGGAGACGTCGGAGCACCTGTGAGAATTGGGGTTTCTGGCTCTTGCATAGTAAAATTTGAAACTGGATGGGAGGCAAAGTTGTGGGTTTTTGAAAGAGACCAAATTGCGGTGGAAAGAAATAGGAATGCGGGTTGAAGAAGAGATGGAGATCGGAATGACGTCGGAGTGGACATCGTCGCCTGAGACAGCCCGAGCACTCCTGCGGATATGAGAAGTTGTGTGTGTAGGAAGGTCCGAAATGGTTTGACGGCTCAGGGAGGATAATTAGGATGTGCGTGTCACGAACCCACCCACATCCATAGCTTCCACAATCCAAAGCACCCTCGTCAAATAAGATGGGAGCATGAATTTTGTTTTTCAATTTTTCAATTTTTTTTTATGGTTAATCAAAAATGTCATTAAGCACGCGAGATGCCAATAGGCATTAAACTCCTCTCAAGGTTTAAACAAGCAGCCTAACCTCTATACATTTCAGCAAACACTCTATCCAAACCTGTGAGAAACATGTCTAAAACTATTTTGAAGCTGTACAGTTTCTGCTATAAAGTAACGAGCATCACTTGTAATTTTTATCAACAAAATGGAAGGAGAGCACCAATCACTATCTCCTGCAACTCTTCTGCACCTCTCGCGCCATAGATGGCTCAGAGTCAAAATCCATAGAAAACGACCAGCAATCGCCATATCATTGGCAACAGGAAGATCGCCATCCAGTATTGGAAGACACTTGTAATTACTAAAGAGATAAACTATAGACGACCTGCATAGCTAAGAAACCTTGACTCCCAGCTCCTCACCATTGCTGTTATCTTGTCAACCAACACCTAACAGTCATGTGAGCTCAGCTTTCCAGTTAATAAGGGAACCCCTAGATATCTAACAGGGAGAGTATCCAGAGGGAATCCAGTTGTTTTTGAAATAAAATCCTTCTCATCCTGAGATATCCCCGCGCAGTAGAGACTACACTCAGCCATGTTGCATTGAAGCCCAGAGACAATGTAGAACTGGTCAAGCAACCATCTGATCCCAGCAACACCTCTCACAGAATCATTGGTAAAAACAAGCAAATCATCTACAAAGCACAGATGAGTAATCTACAGTGCTTTACATCTTGGATGATATGGAATTTGATTGTCAATAACAGCCCTTTCAAGCAATCTATAGAAAATTTCCATAGCTATGGTAAATAGGAATGGAGAGAGGGGGTCTCCTTGTCTAAGCCCTTTTCCCGCCGGGAAGTACCCACATAGTCCACCATTAAAGGCTACACTAAGCATAGGAGTAGTAATGCAAGCTCTAACAAGATTAAGGAAGCAGTCTGGGAAATTCATAGCATGCATCGCTTGAAACAGAAACTGCCAGTCTACCGAGTCGAAGGCTTTCTTTAGATCAATCTTCAAAGCACACCTAGGAGTAATTAACCTCTTGTGGTAGTCTTTTACTAGTTCAGTGGCTAAGAGGATGTTATCACTTATGGATCTACCTTTGACAAAAGTAGATTGGGAAGGTCCTATTACCTTATGAAGCACACTAGAGAGCCTATTTGATAATAGTTTGGATACACCCTTATAGACCACATTGCAACAGGATATAGGTATAAAATCCTTCATTTGTTCTACATTAGGATTCTTTGAGATAAGAGCAAGGATGGTGGAGTTTACCTGTCGTGGCATAATCCCCGTTGAGAAGAATTCCAAAACTGTGTTTTCCACATCTGTCCCAACAATATCCCAATCAGCAGTGAAGAATTCAGTTATCTAGCCATCTGGACCAGGGGCCATATCCCTGCCCATAGATTTGAAGACCTTCTTGATTTCCTCTCTAGTGATCTGGGTTCTTAATACCTCATGATCTTCATCACTAAGCCTCATTTTCACCAGCTCCAGAAAGAAAGAGTCAGGAAACTTCTGCACAACAGGATCAGGATGACCTAGCAATCCCTTATAAAAAGAGACTGCCAAACTACTCATCTCCTTTACCTCAGTCAAAACCTTACCACTACCATCAACCAGCTTTACAATATTATGCCTGTAGACCTAGCAAATTTCAACCCGACCCTTGACCCGTCCCGAAATCGCTCGAAAACTATAATTTTTTGTAACCCGAAATCCGAATGACCCGAACTCGATTACCCGTGATTTTTTGGGTCGGGTTGGGTGGGTTAGCGGGTCGACCCGTTAACCCGTTCCATTTAATATATTACTCCCAAAATATGATAAAATCACTCATAAATTGGTGAGATGTTTAAAAAAATCACAAGGATTTGAATGACATGTTTGGAGTTTAAAAATTATCAAATATCATGTGTTTCTCGCAGTAGTATTACTCTTGTGATTGTTTTTTTACGATTTTCACAATTTATATTTCATTTCATTAGAGTGGAAGGATTGGAGAATATGTTAATTGACATGTGTTAGGTAAACTATTGTCATGCATATGTGAAAATTTGTGTTCTTTAAGAAAATATGAAGCATGTTTGATATTGTTTCTGAGAACGCTCATAACTCGAAATGACCTGTAACCCGACCCAAAACTGAACGGGTTGGGTCAATATTTGACCCGAAATAAGCCAATCAAACATGACCTACCTGTAACCGAAGTTCCCAACTCGAAATTACCCAACCCAACCCGATTGCCAAGTCTATCTGCCTATGAGTACGAGCCTTTACTGATGCATGAAAGAATTTGGTATTCATATCACCCTATGACACATACTGCACCCTATCACCCTATGACACATACTGCACCCTAGACTTTTGGCAATAAAAACTCTCCTATGCAGCCTGCAACTGCTGGCAAGCAGCAACAAGCTTTAATTCATTCTCAATAGTTTCAGCATTAGGAGATGCTAAAACCAACTTCTGAGCTTCTTCCAAATTCATTTCTGCCTCTCTAGTTCTCTCAGATAGCTCTGAATAATTTATTCTATTTAGCTTTTTCAGCCTCATCTTTTACTCTCTTAGCCTGCCATACAGAATTTGATGGGAAGACCCTTCACCTCCCATTTGCCACACTTCATTTAGCAAGGTAACATATGTGAGATGAGACCTCCAGAATTTAAAGAACTTGAAAGGCTTTGGGACGGTTGATACCTTTGGTACAGTTTCCATCATAAGCCCACAGTGGTCTGAAACACCTGGAGACAAAGTTTTAGCAACACTGTTGGAGAACTTGGTTAACCATTCTCCATTGACAAGAAACCTATCTAGTCTCTTAGCAATTGGGTTCCCTTGCTGCTTATTCCACCAAGTGTACCAAGAACCCAGCACCTTATGATCAAACAACCCCATTCTAGAAATCCAACTTCTAAAATCCAAAGTGCTTTGAGTAACAACATCTGTGTTTGATGCCTCCTGAACCTTAGCAATAGCATTGAAGTCCCCCATGTAAAAACAGGGTTCCCCCACTACCATTCCTAAGTACAGCTCTTCATATAACTTTTGCCTATCAGCAAACTTGTTAGGACTGTAGATAGCAGTAACCAGAAATGTAATATCTCCTAAAACTCTTACTTGTATAAAATGTTCCCCCATACTCACTTTAGTGACCTGAAGGCTAGGTCTCCATAATAACCAAACCCTCCCCGAGGAAGAGTAAGCAAAGTTATCCATATGCAACCATTGACTAAACTGTTTATTTAGTATATCAGGGGCATTAACACCCAGCACCCTTGTTTCTAATATAGCTACCATATCTATACCATTACTAGCCAACCTTTTATTTAAGTATCTATGCTTCTCAAGAGTGTTAAATCCCCTGAGATTTCAGCTCAACAACTTCATTTACCTTTGCGTTTCCCCTTCCCTTTCTTTGAAGGGTAACCTGACCAACCATAGCCTGCCCTTTCCCATTCAAGGGGTACTATAGCAGCTAATGCCGACTGAGGAACCCTAAGCCCCCCCCCCCCCCCTGGGGGGCAGAAAACTAACTATTTTTCCAAGTCACAAGCTGAAAACCCTCTTCATCCACCACTGCCTTACCCCGGTCCCCAACTGTCTGAGGAGGAGTTTGAGCCACTGCAGGCTGAGTAACTGTTGGAGTTGCAGTAGACCTAGCACTAGAGGAAGCTTCAATGGCAGTAGCCAGAACTTCTTCCTGGGTAGGAGCAGCCTCACCCGTTTTAGGAGCCCATTGCACTTGTAATGCATCTAAATCAACTATACCAGCCACCACCAGTTCTCTATCTTGCAAAACTTCCAGAGTATGACCGTCATCGCCCTGTCCAACCTCATGCCCAAAAATTCCACACTGTGCACAACGATGAGGAACACTCTTGTAGCTCACAGAGATCATCAAAGCT